AGGAGCACTATTGGAGTGACTTTGATGGTTATTGGACTCAGGATTCATTCATTTGGATTCCCGCTGTATGAAGAAATTAAAGGACGGCGCAAGTGGAGACAATTCACAGAGGGATTAAACTGTTTAAAACACGTGCTCAAAGTAAGCCGGATTTTGCCGATGTGTTTATGTGGATTCAAAAGTCGTAAATAATCTACAAAATGGAGGAGACCGATCTGATCGGAGCAACTGTGACAAATAATCCAACTGAAGCCGGCATGTACAATGACTATGTTTTAAAAATGTGCTTATCCAGACAAGCCTGGTTTGGACACTTTACGGGCAGAAGAAACATTTCTATTAAAGAAAGAATTATACATTTCTCTTTTTATGCCTATAATAGCTACTAACTTGAATTTTTATTTAAATTAATTAATCAATTATTTTTTATATTTTATTGTAATGTAGAGACAAGGCTTTTAGTGACAATCATGTATTGAGTTACAATTATATGTAGGTTGGGAACCACTGATCTAGAGAATTCAAACAGCTCTCATGGCATCTAAGCTAAAAACCACCCAGGAGTGTCTGTGGTTGGGCAGCGTTTCCCTGCACTCCTCTCAGAAACACTTCAGTGCTGCCTGACTATCAGACACTTTCAGCCCCACGTATTGAATCAATAACAGACAAAAGGTCACAGTCCGCCTTAATTCATGTATTTCCATTTTGCTTAGAGGTTTGGGACTTTGATTGTAAGTGACTTTGTTAACCATTCTCTTCATTGTTTCTACAAAATGGTATACTCTCTGTATTATGTAGACATATGCAGACTGTGGGTACTGCTGTTTTTTACTGAGGCCAAATGTTACTTTCCCATATGCTTGGAAATATATGTAGTTTTTTGTATTTGTGTGTTTTTCAAATCTTTTTTTCAGCTTTAAAATAAGGACATAACATTTGAGCAAACAGCATTAATCAACATATGTTTTGCAAAGAGATGTTGAATATTTGCGACCTACAATACAAATCAAACTAGCACAATATTGATGAAGTATATTTCTAAAAAACACTACATCAAACATTGCATCTACTTTTCATTTTGATTTCAGATATTTGATGTTGTTGAAGGTTGAGGCGGTATAGATAATGAATTTGTTTACAGCAAATAAAGAGAAAGCTCTTGTTGACAGAGCTAGATGCACATTTTGATTAAAGTTTGCTTAATGAAGTTTGATTGGAAAGGAACATGCTGCAGAGACGAAGCATTGCACTTCCCCTGAAGGCATGCTTAAGAAGGATTCTGTGTTTATGGTGTTTCATTGGTTGTGATGACTTATCTTGAACTACATCCTATCCCAACAACACACACTGCAATGATTTCTGACTGGGGGTGTTTCTCCATCTCGAGTAAAGCTGCTCCAGAGCCACTATTTCAAGCATACCACGTCATCGAGTGCCGCCGAAGGACTGTTCCAATGTCCAGCATTCTTGGAATTCTACCGAGCCCGGCTTACTTCGTTTGGAGACATTTCGAGGCTGCACATGTGTAGACTCCGGTCTTAAAATCCCCACAATGCTTTGCGCACGGACCAATTTCCCCAAATCTGTGGCGGGAAATTTAAGGCGGGGCCTCTCATATGACGCACACCTGCACACTTGCTCACCTGTTCCACTCTTCTTTTTCCGAATGCCAGGAAGTATTCTTGCTTCGCTTCTGAAGCAAGTGACTCGGAAGACATGTGCTACCAAGCAAGCGTACTCGAGATTGAGAAACACCCCTTTTGTCGGGCTGCAGACCTCTGATTGGTCTGTGGAGCTTCACTGGTGTCCTGTCACAAATCTATATCAAGAGCAGGGCTTCAGAGTCTGTTTTCAGACGTCTTTATAATGTATGACCAGCAGTGGGGAGAAGTTACTAAGTATATTTACTCAAGTACTGTACTTAAAGAGCCTGTGACGCGAGTTTCCCCCATCATCCAAACCCATCAATTTGAGTGAATATTGTCCCCTTGAAAACCGTTACTGAACTGATTTTGGATATTTGTACTTTGATAACCATTAATCTGCCCTTCAATGTTGACCATTTTCTGGATCTTCTCGGGGATTCTTCAAGTCCCGCCAAATGATGTGTGACGTCATTGCGGGCACAGCACTCCAGCTGCACCGTTCAGGATCCCAGCATCTGCATGTAAACGCACGATGGCGCACACAGCAGCAAGCTCAGACAGCGATGACAGTTTAATTGTGAACGTGTCTGAGAGCTCATATGAGGCTGAAGGATCGGTTTATGTTGTATTTAGAAGTTTAGGAATTAGGTGCGTCAATATGGGCGATCATACGGTCATGTAGCCAGTGGTGGAATGGGACTAAAAATCATCCCGGGACTCTCGACCGGCCCACTTCGGTACCGCTAGTAAGTTGTCAACGGGGGGGGAGTGGGGGATGTGCTAGTGACTTATTCGACCGGCCCACTTCGGTACCGGCCCATCGGGATTCGTCCCGATGGCCAGTCCGCCACTGCACCCAGCCCAGCCCACGTAAACTGTCAACGGGGGGAGCCTCGCTGCGGGGAAACGGTGGACCTAGTGTCCCGATCGGAGTGGGAATAATAATAATAATAATAATCCGTGCATTTTATCCATTAATTTTCCCAACATTGTGGTGAAAAAACCACACGTTTAATCCATGTTGGTGTACAACAACTACAAAAAGCATCGGTTTGTTTTCTCATCAAGAAATGCAGACCGGCTCAAACAAACGATTTTTAAATCATCATCCTCACGATCATTTAATCTATCATATGTTCGCCGAATTGACATGAAAGCACTAATAAATGTAGTTTCATCCACTTGAGTTTACAACAACAAAAATAATCGATTTGTTTTTATATCACATCCTACGGGAGGAAATTCAGCAGCTCTCACTACCGATTTTTAATCCTAATTTATTCATCATCTTCACCACGATCATTTATGTTTATGTTCACCGAATTGACATGAAAGCACTGACAAATATGAATATACTGTAGTCAACTTCATTACAACGTTATTAACGTGCCTAAACTCAGTAATTCACAATTTCTACGCATGACAACACACTTTGTCCGTGTTTGGCTCTCTCGCTGCACAGTGAAGCGTTCCCGCATTGACGTCACTTCCGGCTTCCCCCAAAACTTCAAAATGAGTCGAAGGAATTTCCCCGCGATGTTCGAAATTATTGATATTTATCGGTACGGTATCGCACCTTCTTTTTTAAGCTGATGGTTCAAGATGACTAGTAGCCCAATATTTCATTGCACAACAGTTGTTGGGATGCTGTCACAGGCTCTTTAAGTCCTATTTTCTCATACTTGTGCTTTACTTATATTTCCATGTAATGCTACTTTATACTTCTTCTGCTCTACATTTTGGAACACGTATTGTACTTTTTAATAATAACTACTTTTTACATATATGATATAATGCAGTATGCTATATATATATATTACAAATTATAACATTTAAATGCCCTTTGTATTTGTAAGCAATTAGAATATTAATAATACTAATAAATTACTTTCAAAACAGCCATGGTGCATAATGGGTGCTTTTTCTTTTTATAATTTAAGTACATTTAGCTGGCAATACTTCTCTACTTAAGTCACTTTTGAAATCAGGACTTTCACTTGTAATTAAGTATTTCTACTTTTACTCGTAAAAGATCTAATTTCTTATAACAAGATGGCTTCCACGACTGAACACAGGAAATGATGATTAATAGCATGATTGGTTGGCTTTTAAACATATTTTTAAGAAGTAGAATTCATTAAAATGCATAGTATATGTATTTTCCTTTGATCATTGATATCAGAAACCTTAAATGAAATAAAGATCATTCTGAAGAGAAATGCCTAAAACATCATTTCATTGAACTATACTATTGTTAAACCCGTGTAGAACATCAAGCTGCATTCTAAACACTGACATATTATGTTTCTATAGTTTACAGACGGCAAACAGTTCCACATGCAGCCGATACAGAGCAACATCACTTTCCACGCTGTATCATGTTGTTGGTTCCCTTTTATTCGGCGCTTTGCTTTCCTCTCCACTGATATGACTTTCTCTTTTGATTTCAACATCTTTACTCAGTGTTATCAGTACAAGAGGTCTCTTTTCCCAAATGTCAAATATGTATACCCACTGCACAGATCTACATTTGTTTATGTGTACTCTATTGCAAGTTCAGAACAGGATACAGGGGTTCTAGTTCTCCACACAGCTAATGGCCACAAAGCGCTGTAGACAGAACAATGTGAGTGAGCTCTTTCATTTCCTTTCATATACACCTATGTTCAAGTCAAATGAGCTTTTCTTCTCATTTCCCCAAACTTCATTCTGCTTTATTTTTAGTATACATCATTTTGTATACAATACCTTTCGCTCACTACAAGAGCAAACAGAAAGTGTGTATTTTAATTATACTGTTTATCCTAAAACTATGTTGTGCGTCATAGCGTTTTAAATAAAAAAACATGAATTATAGCTTCAATCAGCAAAAGTGCTCTACGGGAAGCAGCCCTTCATATCATGTCCAAGTGTAATACAGGAAAGCAGCTAAATCACTAAATAAACATCTAAGTTATGAATCTGTATTTAAAGCAACACATCTTCTAATTATTTTGGCTTTAATAAGAAAAAACAGAAAGGACTATGAGTAATGAATGGCTGCAGGTGTTGTGCTTTGGTAATTAATAGTCTTGTAATTGGACCAGTTAATGAGCTAGCAGATGCAATCTGTGAGCAGACATTCTCTCAGGAGAAGACCAATCTGAACTCGCACAGAGAAGAACAACTGAACTCATCTGCTGTCTGTCTGCCTCCATCTGCTTCATCTTCCTGTTGTTCTCCAGTGGCTGCCGTGGGTTTACAGAGCAAATAATACCAGCTGATTTGCAGAGATTAAGAGAATCAGTGTAATACCGTTCTGTCGTCTGATGAGATACAAACTCTAATGCAATGTCTGTCTCTTTCATTTCGCAGGTTCTTGTAAATCTCGGGTTGACTGATGCAGCCATGGGCCGATCACTGGACCTCTGAGAGCACCTACCCCCCCCCCCTCACTCTGTCCCTCTCCACCCTCTATTCTTCCTCTGCCCTGCAGAGCTGGCAATAGAGTCCTCCAGAGTCAGAAACCAGCCACCAGCCTGTGATACCTTCTCCCCTCCTTCATCTGTGCACCATGAGAAGTGTTGTTTCTCAGATTAGCGGCCCCTCCAGACGGCCCCTCCTGGCCCTGCTCCTGTATCTGGCCCCTCTGCTGCTGATGGAGGGTTGCTGCTACGCGGCCCCCTCAGGCCCGGAGTCTGACTCTTGCTCCACCCTAGTCCAGAGCCGCTTTTTCGGCTTCTTCCTGTCATCGTCAGCGTTTCCCAGCATGCCCTGCTCCTGGACTCTGCAGAACCCCGACCCGCGGCGCTACACCATCTTCCTCAAGGTCACCAAACCTACGGAGCACTGTGTGCCGTCACAGCTACGCACATTCCAGTACGAGTCCTTCCTGGAAACAACGCGCACCTACCTGGGCATGGAGAGCTTTGACGAGGTGGTGAAGCTGTGCGACGCCTCGGCCTCCGTGGCCTTCCTGGAGGCGGGAAAGCAGTTCCTCCAGATGAGGAAGGGTCTTCCTCGGGCGGGAAAGACCATGAAGGATGGTGATGGGGATTTCAAAACTGAGTACCTGGTGGTCGGGAAGCGAAACCCCAGCATGGCAGCCTGTCAGATGCTGTGCCAGTGGCTGGAGGACTGCCTGGCCTCCAGCACCTCCAGCAGGCCCTGTGGCATCATGCAGACCCCCTGTACCTGCTGGGAGCCCCCACCGCTGCTCAGTAAGGGGGATAGCTGCTATCACAATGGAGTTTACCTGGAAAACTGTTTACCCAGCATGAAAGAGAGTGGAAAAAATGCTGAGATAAATGGTGAGTAGGAAAGCTTTAATGGTTATTAAGCAAAAACATATATATTACTCATATTTACGGCTATTTAACAAAATAAATTACGCCTATTTTCTAAGCGGATTACATCATGGTTCACAAATCAACTTAAAAAGCATCTAAGTGCTGAGATGAACAATTATCTGGGCTTCTCTGTCAAACAATCACGGAAAAAAAAGCTTTTGCCTTCAACAGAGATAAGTGTATTTGTTTTATCTGACCTCACAAGGTCACCCTTGGAGTATAGCAGGCTCTCAGCGAAATGACAGAAAATGGCATATGCAGTAGCGATCAAGCCGGTGGAAATGTGTATGATTTGTGGAAAGTGAGGATAATTGCGTGCCATTGGGCCGAAAGCAAGTAAAGTGCTTTGGCTAAAGTAGAGGAGATAAAGAGGGACAGAAGGAGGCAAATGGAAGGTTTAGGGTTTCATCTGATGGAAGCCAGCTCGGTGACCTTGCGAGGTCGAAACCGTATTCCATCCCTCCGATCCAGGGAGAGACACTCAATCGGCCCTCGGGAAACCTGTGGAACCAGAGGAGAATGAAGTGCTGATATCTAATAGCTCTGGGGCTTCTCAGAAGGGGGGGGGGGGGGTGATGTAAAGTGAGACAAAAGAGGAAGATAGAAGGAGAAGTGCTGCGATGGAATACTGGCCTGTGGCTTGAGGTCTAATTGTCTGCTGCTTGATTTCCCCCCCCCCCCCCCCCCCCTTTCCCCGGCAGAGAGGATGTGGCCTGACATCTCTATCCTGGCTTCATCAGGACTATGGCCAGAGGGAAGGAACATTTCTCTGCTCCCTCTCTCCCCCTAACCTTTCCACCATCTCACTCTCTCAGTCGCTTCCCCTAATCAGCCAGGGGTCTTTCTCTCAGTCCTCCTCCTCCTCTGAGCCACCACCAATCTTTCCCTCTCCAGGCTGATAGTGGGCTGATACTGAGCCAGTCGTGGGAAGCCAATGAAGCAGAGAAGATGTTGGGGTGGGTATCTCCTGCCTTATCCTCCTCCATTCTCCAGAGCGGCAAATATCCCCCAGCCTCCTCTCTGCTAGTTATGGTCCTTATGTAATCCCGCTTATGGTGTTCAACAGCGGGGCGTGGGCTGTTTGTGCCTTCAGGTGTGAAAAAAAATAATGAACCATCCACTGTTGGCTTTTGTAGAGATGGAAACGCTTTATAGCTCTGTGTGCTTCAACCCACACGGGCGAAACGTCTTTCTGACGATAATCCTGCTTCAGAGTGGCGATGGAACCCTGTGATGAGCTGAAATAGAAAAAGGCAAGCAGGCGCTGAATATTTGGCTGGATGGCTCACTGGATGGATTGAATTGGGGGATGAAGATAAAAAAAGGGGTGGGGTAATGGATTCTGTGTGGAAATAGGTCGGAGAGCCAGGCAGTTATGGCCCGCTGTGCAGAGGATGAGAGGAATAGATGGGTTGTGAGTGATGAATGGATGAAAGACAATAGACACAGTAGGGGAGAATAAAGGGGAGTGAAGAGGCTGACAGGCTGAGAGGAGAGTTGTCTCAGGTGAGGGGGCCTGATGAGGATGGATGGTTGTTGCTTGGGTCAGGCAGAACACAGCTGGCCCGGTTTGGTCCCAGAATCCTCAGTAACTGAGGAGTTCAGAGATTACAGCTGCCTCCCAGCATCCTTCACTCCCTCTCTGCAGAAGGACTGAGGTTCCGCCCAAAAGCAGAGAGAGGGGCGAGACCTTCTGTCAGCTCTGCTCAAGTCCAGCTTTTCGGGGTTGGACAGGAAGTTTGGCGTCGTATTGTGTTGCTTTACCTTGTGCTGAACCTCTCCTCATATCGCCTTGTGTATCTAAAGCTTAAAAAATAATGAAAATGCAACTTAAAACAGAGAGCAATTTCCCTTGTCCAAGCAGCTTAACACTGTGAGGGCTGAGACAATTCAGATTATAGTAAATGGAAACTTCACATGTGCAGAATTGTAATCATTTCCTCTGCGGGCCCAATATCTCAAATATAACTCAAAACCCCCACCGCTGTTATCAGCAGTCACTCAATGGTGCCGCCACTGTCAAATTCCAATAGCTGTAGATGCGTCCATAACAATCTGCACATCAAAATGTAACTCAAATGTTTAGAGCATCCTCAGGAACTTTGACTCTTTAGGCAGGTGGATGGTGAAGAGATGAAGTGGGCGTGGCAGATGGACTCAGTCCAGCAGATTCTTCTCACAAAGTTTGTGTCCCACCACTGACCTGCCTTTCACATTTCAACCAGAACATAAATCTTTCTCTTACCCTTAAAACAGTTGTTGTTGTGTAACGTTAACCTCGCCATTCAATTATTCCCTAACTTGGCTTTAATGAGCTTACTTACCAAAGCATACTTGTCGGCACATATATTGCAGAAAAGGAAGAATTGGTCTGACTGAAGAACCGTGTTACACACAATCCAGGGTTTGCCAACGTTTTTATCAAACAATTGAGTCTTCTGTTTAGTAAGCGGTTTGTTACTACTTTGTTTACTTCCGTAACATAGTGATATCACAATGTAACAATTGCGCTTCTATTGGCTAGTGCCCCAAAGCATTGTACGTGAAAGTCTAAGGGGCGGGACATCAGTAAGCGTTTGACCAATCACAACAGAGCCGGCCAGCTAACCAATCAGAGCAGACTGGGCTCTGGTTTCAGACAGAGGGTGAAAAGAGGTGCTGCAGCACAGGCAGTATGAGAACAATAAAGAGCTTTTTGAACATTAAAGCATGGAGACATGTAGAGACACTACATACTGATATACACCTGAACATCAGCAGGAGAGGACTCTTTAAAGTAGAGACACTACATACTGATATACACCTGAACATCAGCAGGAGAGGACTCTTTAAAGTAGAGACACTACATACTGATATACACCTGAACATCAGCAGGAGAGGACTCTTTAAAGTAGAGACACTACATACTGATATACACCTGAACATCAGCAGGAGAGGACTCTTTAAAGTAGAGACACTACATACTGATATACACCTGAACATCAGCAGGAGAGGACTCTTTAAAGTAGAGACACTACATACTGATATACACCTGAACATCAGCAGGAGAGGACTCTTTAAAGTAGAGACACTACATACTGATATACACCTGAACATCAGCAGGAGAGGACTCTTTAAAGTAGAGACACTACATACTGATATACACCTGAACATCAGCAGGAGAGGACTCTTTAAAGTAGAGACACTACATACTGATATACACCTGAACATCAGCAGGAGAGGACTCTTTAAAGTAGAGACACTACATGCTGATATACACCTGAACATCAGCAGGAGAGGACTCTTTAAAGTAGAGACACTACATGCTGATATACACCTGAACATCAGCAGGAGAGGACTCTTTAAAGTAGAGACACTACATACTGATATACACCTGAACATCAGCAGGAGAGGACTCTTTAAAGTAGAGACACTACATACTGATATACACCTGAACATCAGCAGGAGAGGACTCTTTAAAGTAGAGACACTACATACTGATATACATCTGAACATCAGCAGGAGAGGACTCTTTAAAGTAGAGACACTAGATACTGATATACACCTGAACATCAGCAGGAGAGGACTCTTTAAAGTAGAGACACTACATACTGATATACACCTGAACATCAGCAGGAGAGGACTCTTTAAAGTAGAGACACTACATACTGATATACACCTGAACATCAGCAGGAGAGGACTCTTTAAAGTAGAGACACTACATACTGATATACACCTGAACATCAGCAGGAGAGGACTCTTTAAAGTAGAGACAGTACATACTGATATACACCTGAACATCAGCAGGAGAGGACTCTTTAAAGTAGAGACACTACACACTGATATACATCAGCAGGAGAGGACTCTTTAAAGTAGAGACACTACATACTGATATACACCTGAACATCAGCAGGAGAGGACTCTTTAAAGTAGAGACACTACATACTGATATACACCTGAACATCAGCAGGAGAGGACTCTTTAAAGTAGAGACACTACATACTGATATACACCTGAACATCAGCAGGAGAGGACTCTTTAAAGTAGAGACACTACATACTGATATACACCTGAACATCAGCAGGAGAGGACTCTTTAAAGTAGAGACACTACATACTGATATACACCTGAACATCAGCAGGAGAGGACTCTTTAAAGTAGAGACACTACATACTGATATACACCTGAACATCAGCAGGAGAGAAACTCTTTAAAGTAGAGACACTACATACTGATATACACCTGAACATCAGCAGGAGAGGACTCTTTAAAGTAGATACACTACATACTGATATACACCTGAACATCAGCAGGAGAGGACTCTTTAAAGTAGAGACACTACATACTGATATACACCTGAACATCAGCAGGAGAGGACTCTTTAAAGTAGAGACACTACATACTGATAAACACCTGAACATCAGCAGGAGAGGACTCTTTAAAGTAGAGACACTACATACTGATATACACCTGAACATCAGCAGGAGAGGACTCTTTAAAGTAGAGACACTACATACTGATATACACCTGAACATCAGCAGGAGAGGACTCTTTAAAGTAGAGACACTACATGCTGATATACACCTGAACATCAGCAGGAGAGGACTCTTTAAAGTAGATACACTACATACTGATATACACCTGAACATCAGCAGGAGAGGACTCTTTAAAGTAGAGACACTACATACTGATATACACCTGAACATCAGCAGGAGAGGACTCTTTAAAGTAGAGACACTACATACTGATATACACCTGAACATCAGCAGGAGAGGACTCTTTCATCAATACATTCCAGTATCACTGTCAAAAACATCATTGTTGAAAATATTAGCTGACAATAAGCAATGACAATTTTGATTAATAGATGTTGACCTTAGTTTGATGCGGTCAATGTTCCTTCCAGTATAAAATCAGATGAGGTCAACCTCTAGTATGACCGATATAGAACAGCTTGATTATCTGTCTCACTGTGTCAATAA